TACCTTGGATTTGTATGGATAAGTGAAGCAGTTTGCTAAGAACTCAAGACCAGGTTTAGAACACAGCCTGGTGTAGCTCAGCAGGTCCTCCCAAGCTATTGCTCTCTCAGAGGGCGGGTCAGAGGGAAGAGGGCGTGTCCTGCCCTCCCTGAGCTGACAGTTTCATAGCAAAAATCTTCACCATGTAAAGAACTTGGAGTTTCTTCTAAGAACAGTGGGTATGAAATGAGTCCAAAAAGCGCGGAAGTGACACAATCCCATTTGTCTCAAGTAGGGGAGAGTGGCTCTGGGGCCACTTGGGAGACTCGTGAGTCCAGGTGGGCAGTGTTGGTGGCTTCCACTTGAGCGATGGACGGTCAGTGGGTAAAAGCTAACAGATTGAAGGCATGTTTAGATGATAAAAAGGAAAGGATGAATGCTGTCTGTCAATATAGTATGGAGTAAGGCCCAGGTTTTTGTGTGGATTAATGAGGTAAATGATGGTCCTGCTTTGCTGTGAGGAGGGAAAGCTGCAGAGGGATTTCTGGGGGAAAACTGATGAGTTCAGCTGTGGGTAAAGTGAATGGCTGTTAGATGTGTGGTCTGGGAGCTCAGGTGAGAGCCAGTAGTGAGTAGGGGGAGGGGTGAGGGACTTTCAAATCATTTTGTCTTGTGAACATACAAATAAGGATGAGTAATGACACACTTAACATCTCTTAATTCTGGACTTAAAGCCCAGTAAGATTTTGCTATACTGACTGCAGAGGTTCTTAATTTTTTTTTAATAGAAAGAAATAGATACAAAATAGTGGAGTTAATGAAAATCTTAGAGTTGATGTGTGTCCTTGTATGTATTTTTATACCTCATATGTTTATAACCATAATCTACAAAAAGCTTGCTTAGCATAAGAGTTAAACAGAGGGCCTTGACACACCCTGTTGGGGGTTGAAACTGATCTTCTTGGGCAAATTATGTAGCCTCTATGTGCCTTAGTTGCATTTTCTGTGACTGCCCCTGGGCTTCTTATCACACCTGATTTCCTAGACTAGATGTTGGGAGGGAGGCTGCTGAAGGGAGTCTGAGGTGGCAACTGCTAGGGATACTGAAGAGAGAGACAAAAACAGATGAAAGCCGATACAATGAGTACAAATACCCTCAAAAGAGAAAGAATCCCGCAGTGTTTTGAGCCACTTACCATAAGGGAAACAAAATCACGTGGATCCAACGCTCTTGAGAATATGAGTATTGTGGTTGGGAGGGTGTCATCATAAAAGTGTTGAGAAAAGACCTCTTCGTTTCCCTTGAAGTTTCCAGTAAGGATGTGGAGCAGAAGCGAAAACCCCCTGCTTCACAGTTGAAGGTGCTGTTTTGTGCAAACCTGACCAAAGGTTGGAGACCAGTCATCAGCGGTGCTGGCAAATGAAGAGGCTTCTGGATGGGGTGGGGCACTTGCTGTGACTTCCAGGTGACCTTCTGGCTGGGGGCTGTGAGGCGGGCAGTAGGTTTGCAGGGTGGCCCGGGCATAATCCCTGGCTGTGAGGCTGCTGGTCTGACTAGCAGACCTGGGCACCCCCAGTCCTAATAGGGCAGGTTGAGATGTGGCCTGGGACACCTGCCGTGCTGAGGGCGAGAAGAGGGCTTCCCTGATGGGGTGTCCCTGCAGAGAGTGGAAACGTCCTCCTGCAGGGGAGGAATTGCTTCTGAGCAGGTGGCCGGATGCACAGGCAAGAGCAGCCTAAGCACTGAGGTTTCCGGGAGCCGGAAGTCATACAGTGGCCCAAACCACCTTGTTCCTGAGAGACTGGAGGGAAAAGATGCTGAAAAGGCAGGCTAGGTTCAGACACTCTGGTGGGTTATGATTGACAGGAAAGGACTGTTCAGCCAGGCACGAAAGAACACTGTGGGCGTCCCAGCTGGGGCGTCACACTGAAGGGAAGAACAGAGTTATTGACTTTGCCACTTATTAGCTGTGTGATTTTGAGGAATATCACCCCACCTCTCTCTATATATATCTTCATCTGTAAAGTGACAGAGTGACAAGCTCGTGTCATCAGAAGGCTTAGTTTAGCTCTGATTCTCTTTGTCCAGTCCTGTCAGTGCTGCCCTGCAAGGTTCTGCAGCGACTGCTCTTACCTTGATATGGGAAGGCGTAGAGGGACATTGTAATTCCCGAGGGCAGGAAGGGTTGCTTTAAAAGCAGACTTGTAACCGCCTGCAGCTGCAGACCTGCAGGCAGTTTGGTTGATGGTCCTTGAGAGGACGTTGGAGGCCTTAGCGTCGTCTTAAGTCTTGTTTTCCCTTGGGGACAGGATTTGCCTTTACAGATTAATGTTGAAGATTTGGGCTTCTGGCAAAGCTGTTTTCAGAGATGGGTATACATGTAAAATATCGTATAAAATCAAATAACTTATTAAACGTGTGCGACTTTGCCCCTGTTGGGAACAGCTCTGTTGGCCTGGTCTCCACGGAGGACACCAAGGGTCAGCAGAGCGTGCAGGAGGGCAGGTGGCCTGTAGTGCTGCTGCGGGGTGTTCTCCCCAGCAGGGCGCTCAGCTGAGTTGACTCTTCTATGAGTTTGGTTGCCAGAGGAGCAGACATCAAATTAATGAGTTCTGGAGGGGTTGTATAATGACAGGAAGAAAGAGGAACCCGGAGTTTTTCCGGACTAAAACACGCTTTTCGTTCCTGATTCAGTGTGTTCCATTACAGAATTGATGAGTTGTGTCTATTCTGGGACTTCATTGAAATAAACGTTCAGCCTAAATGTTAAGGGC